ATGGTGAGTGATAAGATGGGTAGAATTATGAAAATAAAAAGAAACAAGAAATGAGTTCCTTAGAAAGACTAATTAGGGAAAGTGTGTGTGTGTGTGTGTGTGTGTGTGTTTTCCTAATTTATAAGTTAGGGATGGTTTAGTGACAACATGTTGCATTTTCTGTAGAATTGTTGAGCAATTTCCAACCAAGCATGAGCTCATGCACCATCTAGAGCTTGCACAAATAAACACAAGGCTCCTTAAAACAGAGAAGCATATTTGACCTTGCATTAAGCTAAATAGGAACTGATTGTCCCTGCAAACAATAGTGTAGCATTCTGAACTGATGACTAAATTAGATGCTGGCTACAACCCTGACTAACTCTGTCTTTTATTTGACTGGTTTCCTACCAATTCTGATAGGTTGTTAAGGAATAGACACAGCTATTCTTGAGATCTGGTTCTGCCAAGGAACAGCAAACCTTGGAACTTAAAGGAAATTGGCCTCAAATTATCCCACTGGATCAACAAACTAAGGAATGTGTTGGAATTGTTTTGTATCATTTATTTCACTTGGTGAGCAGGACAGGCAAGTTGCCAGCATTTCACAAAAGGCCCACAATTCCATAAAGGCCAGGAGAGTATGAAAACTCCCTGAGATTGGCAAATGGTGTTTATCACACTTGGTAGAAACATATTCTATGAAGATGTTATTGGCAGCTGTGTCTCTCTTTGAGAACTTGGGAAAATTTGTTAAGCTCTCATAACTGAGAGTATGATGCAAATTCTCCTATAATTCTCCTTAAAACTTTTCTTAAGAGAAAGATTTCATATTCTCTGCCAGTAAATACAATTCTGTCATTTGGCATCTTCTTATCAGTCAACCCTTCCCTATTGTTACATGTTCAGGTCTAGGAACACACCACAAATTAAAGGTGACATCAAGAATGTAACTGAAATTTAGTTTTATTAAACTCCCGTGTAATTTTTATCCTTCAGAATAACTCCTTCTGATCATTCCCTTCTTTACCAAATCCAGAAACAAATTAGCTCAACTACTAAAATTCAAATACTATGGAGTTTCAAAAGAGAGCTAACAATTTAATATTTAATGCATTTACATTGTGATGCATTAAACACTAGCCTAAGTGAAATTAATTGCAAGTCCATCAAAACCTACGTGCTCCTGGTAGAGTAGAGCCCTCCCAGCCAGGCCTGCAGCTGCTCATAGACTGAACCAGGTACATCAACAGATGTTTTTGAAATCCTGTTGCCACACCTGTGTCCTCTCAGGTTTGCCAAAGCTTTCAGCAGCAAAGTGTTACAGAATATGGATTTTTGACCCAATGAAACTAAATTTAATTGAAAAAGTAAGATTATGAGAAAAGCTCCAACTAATTAGATGTGTTTTAATGGATTTATTAATATATAATTCATATACCATAAAATTTCCCTTTGAAATGTATTAAAAGCTAAAATTTAAATAACCCATAAATCTAAAAGAAATTGTATCTGTAACTAAAACATTTAAATTAGGTGGTAGTGGAAACAGAACATGGAAAAACTTATAGCTAAAGAAGGGTTTAGAGGAAAATTAATAATTTTAAAGGCTTATATTAGAAATAAAAATATTTTTATCAACTAAGTTTTCACTTTAAGGATTTAGGGGAAAAGAGCAAATTAAACTCACAGAAGAACAAAACCACCAAGAATAAATATAAGAACAGATATCAATGACATAGATGAACACTAGTGTTAGTTAACAAAGCTAAAATTTATTTCAATTAAAATAGATACACAACTTGATACACTGATTTGCAAAAGGAAAGACACGAGAATACAAATTATCATAAATAATTAAATTACAAGCATGTGATAGGAAGTACTGAGTATAAGAAATGATCTTCATTTCTACAAATCAACAATTCTATTTTTGATTATTTAATTTCCCTCAAAATTCAGCCTGCATGAAGTAACACAGTAAGTTTTTTTTAAAAAAGAATGTTTAACTCTATATCTATTGAATAACTTGAATTTTTCATAAATCATAAGATTTTCCACACAGAGAATTTTGAGTCCAGATGGTCTTTCTAGAGTATTCCATCAATATTAGGAAGAAAATAAACAAAAATGCTGATAGCAATCATATATACACACTTCCAGAAGACTGAAGATAGAACAAAGTTTGTAATCCATTTTATAAGTCTAGCATTATTCTTATCCAAAACCAGACAGGCATTATAAGCAAAGTGGAAAGCAATATTATAAATGAACACAAATGCAAAAGCTTTTTTTTGATTTTCGGAAATTTAATTTTTTCATTTTTCAAAGGGAGGTTAAACCACCTTGTTCAGTTTTTTTTTTTTTCAGGAGGTTAAGTTGTTCTAATATTCAAAAATTAATATATATCACTGCATGAAGAGAATAAAAGAAAAAATATAATCACATTAATTGTTGAAGAAAATTCATCTAAGTTCATTAACAATTCATAATGAAACCTGTTAGCAAACTTGGAAGAAAGGAGTACTTTCTGAATTTGATAAATGACATTTATAAATAAAGAAAAAATATACTTAATGGTAAAGTATTAAGAGATTTCTTTCTTTCTTTTTTTTAACAAGAGAGTAATAGTCTTAACCAACAAGGTTGTGGAAATTTTATTTTATAACATAGGGTAAGGAAAATACTTTAAAAATGAGGAAACCAAAAAGGAAAAATAAACTTTTTTTGTAGAGATGGTGTGATATTATATATAGAAACTCTTTAGAAATATTCATAAAAATTACTAAAATTGCTCAAAGTATATGCAAGTTATTCTATATGCAATTATTAAATAATTAGAAAGTCAAGTTACAAAACTTATCTACTCTCAGTGGCATTACCAAGCATAATATTTAAGTTTTAACTTGCTAGATACATTCAAGATCTCTACACTGAAAACCAATTATACATCTCTGGGAGAAAATAATTCAATGGTCAGTTATGTTTTAGCCTGGAAGACTTAATAATGTTAAAATATCTGGATGAGTTAATTTCCCATTGCTGTGACAAAATGCCTGAAATAACCAACTTACATGGAGGGATTTTTTTGGATCAGTGCTTCCTAGCCTCTTGGTACTGTTGTTTTTGGGCCTGTGGCAAAGCAGAATTCCAAGGTAAAGAGCAAATGGTGGAACAAAGCTGTGCACCTCATGGAGACTGGGGAGTAAAGAGATGCAAATAAGCAGTGTTTCCAATGTTCTCAAAGGAATGTCCCCGAGAACCCAACTTCCTTCCACAATGTCCCAAATCTTAAAAGTTCCTCTATTTCCCAATGGCACTAAGAGCTGGTGACCAAGCCTTTTGACATAGGCTTTCAGAGGACATATACGATGAAAACCTTATCAGTGTTCTTTTTCACAAATCAATCTGTAGATACAAACTAACCTAATCAAAATCCTAACAAGAACATTTAGTGACATCAGAGAGCAATTCTAAAGTAACATGGAATCTAAAAGACCTCTAAGACGAGCAATCCTGAGGAAAACTGGGGAACATACTCAACCTGATATTGGAGCTCACACCACCACTATATTATCCAGACATTGTGGTGGATGTGAAGATACAGTGATGGAACAGGATATGCATTGTCACCTACCCATGGCAATTGGTTTTAAAGGAAGTACAAAGATAACACAATGGGAAAGAAGATTTTTTTTTTTTAAGTGGGGTAAACAGTGTAAGTATATAGAATAATTATTGGCAGACTTTAGCCTGGTACTTTACATCAGGAAAATACGTTGAGTTTGAGACAAATAATAGATTTGAAAACTTAAGCTAAAATTCTAAGTGTTCTAAAAATACAAGAATACTGTTGTGACTTTTGGCTGTGTATCTGTAAAAATATTGTTAAGTTACTTTTAAATTAATGACTTGTATTAACCAAAATTTATCATTAAGAAAATGAAGTGGGGAGTATATTAGAAAAGCGTTTCATACCCTATTTATAATTCAAAGACTGCTCTCCAATATGTAAATTTCCACAACTAAACAATTAAAAAATAGTGAACAGTAGCAGTCTAAAATAGTTAATTACTTTACAAAAGAATATTGGTGTATGTGTATCCTTATGCACACCACAAGATTCTCAACATCATCATAGGTAAAGATACTTTGAAAATTATCTTATGTTTAGTAGAAAACTATTTTTTTTAAATTACATCACTATATTTTGGCTACATTATAATGTAATCGGAACTCAAATTCATTAATATGGGAAAGTAAAATTTCACAATGACTTGGGAAAGCAGTTTGGCAGGTATTTTGGAGTTAAGCATTTACTTGCTATGTGTTCTAGCAACTTTATTCTTAGTACTTCAAAATCATCAATCATATGTCTCCATGGTGGAATAAGAAAAAATATGATGCATATCATATTATATAATTTTTGATATTTCAGTCAGAAAATACTAATTTTTTAACTTTCTTAGAAACATTCACTCATTTTTCTATTTTCTATGTATTACTTTTCTGTGTTACTACCTTTTCTGGAGCCTCAACCTTTTCATTTCAAGTTGGACTCAGTCCATTTACCTCCACAGTAGACTGAAAATAATGGACACATGACCTAATTTTGGACAGTCAGTGTATTCTACTTCTTGCATTCAGTAGTTGATATATAGCACTGATGTTAAATCAATGAATGTTATTTCTGGGAATATTAAGAACAAGGAAGGTATTATTTTTACCAGGATTACTAGCTATAAAGGTGTTGTAATCCTGTAACTCTTCAGGGTTTTTTTTTTTTTTTTTTCCACTCAGATTCAGGGAGGGTCCTCTGATGCCTCAATGTCAGGGTCCCCTGTTGGTACAGTGGTGTGCTGGTAAACATTAACAACCGGTTCTGTGCAGGGCGGAGATTTCCTGGCACACCTCCCCATCCCCGCCTGCCTGCCTGCCTGCCTGCCTGCCTCAGGACCTGTCGTGAGAACTGTGGAGCTGAAGGACGGGCACTCGGCCATCTGGGAGCCGTGGCATGGTCGTTAACCACAGGTCAGGTATCAACACTCACTAGGTGAATTGCTACTGATGGAAAATATTAACTATCATTGTAGTTGGGGGTTATCTTGCCAACATATGAGAACAGGGATTTTGAGAATTAACCCAAAAGAGCATATGGGCCAAGAGAAACGGAGAAGAGTCCCTTACCCGATGACATTATTTGAATTCTTGATTCAGCTATGACTATATAAAACCCATTGCATTCCTTGAATTCCCAAATAGCATAATTCCAAATTTTTTATTTTTGAAATTAAGGTAGTTGGAAAAAGTAAAACAACAACAAAAAAATACTCTTCTGAAATTTCTAGAAATATTTTTCTACAGTTCTAAATGCATATTTTAGTATTGTATGGGGAGCTATTTTGATATTTCCTGTGAGGAGCCCAGTTTATAAAAGACTGATAAACTCATTCAAAAGGAAATATCTCAGATCTAAGAGTGTGTTTTCTATTGGTAGTATAAATGACAGTGTCAGCAAGAATGCTTTTTGTGCGAGTTATTACTCTTATTTCTAACATAGAGAAAGGTGGTTTCTTTAGGAAATTGAGATAACAGTCTTGAATTGTTCTTGTACCAGAAAACACTGACTGGAGAGGAGGTAATGGAAAGGAAAGAGTATGTATAAATATACAGAGATACATGAATAATAGACCCATGAAATCAATGCAAATTAATCTGAGCATTCTCTCTACACTCTGTAGAGTTTTTCTGAAACTATTTCTATATAGAATTTATAGATGATATCAAAAGAGTAATTTTAATTGCATTAATATGTGCAAGTTTGATCTAAAAATATTAATCATATATATTTAACTTCTTTTTTTTTCAGTTGCTGAGGACAGCTGGAAAGCCTATACTAAACACAGTTTAAGTACTGAGAAAATATTATACAATATTTACTGAACATCTTATATTTTCTCTTTTAAGACCTAATGTAATTTGTTAATAGTACCATTTTATTTATATTTTTATTAGTGCAATGTTCACATAATATGGGGGTTTGACTTATTCATAAATGCACATAATATTGCTTGCTCCATTTCCAAGTATTATCCCCTTTCTCTCCTCCTCTCCCCTAGCCCCTTGATGCCACTCCACTACTGTATTAATCTTTCTTCTATCTAGTTATTGTTTTTAATTTGTATATTATAGTGACACATAGAATAGAATTCATTGTGATACATTCAGACATGCACTCAGCATAATTTAGTCAATTTCATTCTGCAATCCCTCTCTTCACACTCCTCCTTTTTTGATCTCAAGCCCCTTCCTTTATTTCACTATCCTTTCATCTATTTTCATGAGACCCCCCCTTTTCAAATTTCTCATTTCTCTCTAGCTTTCACATATGAGAGAAAACATTCAATGCTCGACTTCCTGCATTTGGATTATTTCACTTAGCATGATGTCCCGTAGCTCTATCCCTTTACCAGCAAATGCCATATTTCATTCTTCTTTATGGCTGAGTAAAACTCCATTGTGTATATATAAACTACATTTCTTCATCCATTTATCTGTTGATGAGGACCTGGGATCCATAACTTGGTCATTTTCAATTGCACTGCTATAAACATTGGAATGCATGTTTAATAAATAGTTTGCTGATTATAATTTTTCTGAATGACTACCAAGAACGGGGATAGCTGGTTCATATGGTGTGCCCATGATTATTCTCTTAAGGAATCTTTATGCTGCTTTTCAAAGTGCTTATACTGATTTGTGGCTACAACCAAAACACCTGACTGTACCTTTTTCCCCCAGATCTTCACCAGAATTTAATGTTAATTGTATTATTGATGACTAACCTTCTTACTGGAGTAAAATGAAAACTCAGTGTAGTTATGAATTTTATTTCCAAGATTGCCAAGTTGTGAACACATATTCATATCCTTTTTGGCCATTTGCATTTCTCCTTTTGAGAAATTTCTGTAGAGTTCATTTCCCATTTATTATTTGGGTTATTAGTTTTTTATGTTTCACTTGAAATATTACGACTAATTGTTTTCTTATTTTCTTTACCAATTATATCTAGGCTATTTTAAAATTTTATCCTCTTCTTCACCATGTAGAAAGGCATACTTTCTTTTATCTCCAGTAAATTTTTTACTTATCATTTCTAGGAAACAATATTATTTTTAAAATTTTATTTTAAAATAATTTAAATATTAATAAACATAAGTTGATAATACATTAAAATAAATAATCTGAGACCACTTGAGAGATAAATTTGGTTCAATATTGTGAAATCCATTTATACAACATTTCATATCAATAGATATAATGAAAGATCACAATTATTTATAATTATAGATGCACTAGAATTCCAAATATAATGCAAAGAGGTTTATATGCACTTCACCAAGTTTCTCCTAACTTTTTCCTTTAACTAAATTTGTGTACTTATGGTACTATATTGAAACTAGACTTTTAACATTACAGTTAGTTTATATAATTCTGTCCTTTACTACATGTGTTGACTTGTGTGACCTACACTAGATTTCAGACAGAGAACTACACCATTACCACCCAGATCTCTCTTATTCCACTCCGACAGTTGCACTCAAATCCTTCTCCTTCACCACTAACTCTAACCCTTGACAATTATTAATCTATGTCCTATCATTATAATGTGATTATTCTTAGAATGATATATAAGCAGAATTATACAGTTTTTAACTTTCTAGGGTTGGCTCTTTTTTTTTTTCATTTGGCATAATATACTTGTGATCCATCCAAATTATTGCAAGTATTTTAATTGTTGACTCCTATTCCATGGATGTATATAGTTTGCTGAATCATTCAGTAATGGAGGGACATTTTTGTAATTTCCAGGATGTTGGATTTCAAAGAAACTAGAGACCTCATGTATTGCTGATGGGAATGTAAAGTGGAACAGCCACTCTGCTAGCAGTTTCCCCATTTCCTAAAATATGAAAAATGCATTTGCTATCTGAAATAGTAATTAAATTTGTGAACATTTATCTCATAGAAATTAAAACCTATTTTTGCACAACTACCTACATAGTAGCCAGTAGCCTTTTCTTTTCTTTTTCCTTTTTTCTTTTTTTGCTTCCTCTTAATCTCTAGGGTAACAATAACTTTAACATCTCATTTCTCAATATATATTTCTTACTCAGATTTTAATTTTCTATATTTTTGTACTTTGCTAGTGTGTCTCACTCCCCCAGGATGCATTCTAAGCCAACCTGCATTTGCCCAAGCAACACATGTTCCATGTATTACCTCAACAAGCATATTCGACTCTTCTATGCAATGACTCTTGACCTCATTCCTACCTGGAAAAATTCATTCCTCCTTAGGGATGCCTTGTACTCTCAGAATCTCTGTGAACATTCAGTAAGCTCATTTTCCCACATGCCTCTCCTTTTCTATAAGCTCTTTTGCAGAAAAGTCCTATTTTTAATTGGTCTTTGTTTTTCCAGGATTTGTTCTAATTTTTTTCTTAGAATAGACAGTCATTAAGTGTTTGTTCTAAGAATAAATAGATAACTTAATATACCAACTAATTGTGCCTAACACTTTTATATAAATTCTTACAACTACATTTGGAGTGAAGATTGGAGGAAATTATATTGCAAACTTGTATAATTCTGTCAAAATAAACCCCAAATTATGTTTATCTTAACCACACTACTAAAGCATGCACCCGCATATACACAAACACATACACACAATTTCTACAAATTTAGTTTAAAGTTCTATGAGCTTTTGTTAATGATTTGTGAAATAGGACGTATCACATTTGAATAGAGAAATACCATAGGTATGAAAGAACAGTTTGTTTTCATAAAATAGATTGAGCAGGAAAAATAAAATAGAATAATATTAAAAAAAAAAAAAAGCAAAGCAGATCAGTGAACATCAGCCTACCTTCCCTGTAAAGACTTTAGTGGAAGAAATACTCTTGTGCAGGGTCTACTTGACTGGCCTTTTGTGGTCAGTCCCCTATTTTTAGGAAAAACTTTCCATCTGAGGATTTCATTCCTTCCTTAAAGCTTTAGCTTGATTATATGGCATGTAGCATGAGTGATTTTATGTTGATTAACTTTTGGGGGGCTAAGGGCAAGAGATCAGCCCCAAACAAATGGTTCCTATAATTTTCTTTAACAACATGCATTGGTATCCCCAGTTCATGAAGAAAACCTCAAAACTAAAAAGAACTTTTCAAACTAAATTTCAGGGCTCAGCCTGGAGTTAATGGAATGTTGAGTTTCCTGACTAGGATCAATCATGTTTCTATTATAAGCTGTTTCCTAAATCAATAAATATCCCTGCAGTTTGTTGTATTATAAACTGCTGCTTAAATCTATAAATTGCCTTGTTACACATTTTTAAAATTATTCATATTGGTTTTCAATTATGAAGTAAATTTTTCTCTACAAAAGGAGATAAGTATGAAATGTGGGATCTCAGGAATGCATGGGTGACTTCTCTGTCAGCAGACCAACTTCTTGCCTTTAGTACATGGTGCCTAGGAAAACTAGAAGAGTTTTCCTATCCTTCACTTGTCTTGGAAATATACTGTAAGAGGTTTCACTGCAAACATTTGTTTTAAATCATCCCTATAAACTCTTTAAAGCTCATTCTTTTAAATACAATTCTAACAAGGCCTTTAAACTCATAATGTCTGCCAATTTTCTTCTTTTATTACAAATACAGAAAAAGTCTCTCTTTATTTAAATATTTATTTTCATTAAAGACAATAGGGATGCCAATTTTCTAAACTCTTTCTCAATCCCCTTCATTTCTTGCTTCCCCTGCCCTACCTTTTTCTCAAGAAGTAGGGTGGTGAATCCTGTCTTGGAACTGCATCAGACAACTTCTCTACCTAACTACTCAGGTCTTCTGTTTTGCCTTAGATTGTCTTACCTATGTCTATGAATACTTTCCAGTAGGTACTATTATAGCTGGATCTAGATAATTCAGGCAGCCAAGATATTTTAGAAAATCAAAATATAATCCAACCAGATTTTCTCCTTCAAATCACTTATCTGTACTGTATCACGATCAATACTCATATATACACCTAAAT